CACCGAAACCCCCCCACCAGGTGGAAGAAGTTAACTGCATGCTGACCACCAGCACGTAGACCCCAGACAGGTTGGAACCAGAAGGTTGACTGAGATTCCGGAAACATGACCCTTTTATCCCACCACCAACCAATCAGAATAATGTCCAAGAGCTGGTCACACACCCCTCGACCCCCTCCTTCACTCTGTCTTTATAAACCCCCCCTGAAAGCCCTGAGGGAGTTCGGGTTCTCCTTGTGGCCCTGAAGTTAACGCTGCACTTTCCTTCACCGCAACCTGGTGTCAGCAGGTCGGCTTTAACACTCGTGGGCGAGCACACCTGAGTTTGGTTCAGTACCACCCCCATAAATCATTTTTAGAATTAAAAACGGAGATGGAAAATGCCAGAGAAAAGATAAGAACAAGTAAGGATCCATTCGGGAGGCCCAGTATCAACTAATAAAATAATTGGGAAGAGAACAGAGAAAACGGAGGGGAAGGAAACAGGAATGAACAGGTGACAGAGACAAACTTACCCAGGAGGAGGACACAGGCCTCCCCGTGTGGAAGGGCCACCAAGTGGCCACACGGCGAAACAGGAGGAACCACCAGACTCCTCCGACACCAGGGTGGACGCTGCTGCTCTCCAAAAAGGGCCTTCAAGCACCCTTTTACCCCGAAGATGTGCACCCATTCATTTGATTACATTAAAACCAAATCCCCAAACCTCCATCTGTGTTTCCTTCCCAGCACACAGCGTCCACACGATTCACACATCGAAATGAAGCCACGCTCCTAAGTTACATGAGGCCCAGACACCCCAACCCCAAAGGCCTCCAGGTCCACCTCGAAGGTCTGAGCCCAGCACCAATCCACCCCCCCACCCCGTCCCCCATGCGTCTTCTCTCAGCCACATTCTGAGCTCCGCCACTGAACTTGCCCCAAACCAGAACAAGGTGGGGGAGGGACGACACCAAATCCCTCCTAATTTCCTCCCTTTCAAGAAGGAAAACACGGGAGGGAAGGAGCCCACACCCCGGACGGCCCCCATCAGTCGGGACCCATGCTGGTGACACCTCTCCCGCGTGGCCCCCTCCCCGCCCCCCTGCCCACCACACAGCACCTTCTCAAGTTCTCCCCTCTGGCTCCAGGACGGCTGAGGTTGTGTGTCTGTTCACCGCTGCCTGCACGGGGGTTATGGGCTGGCCTGTGTCCCCCGAAAGCCACCTGCTGAAGCCGACCCCAGGGCGGGCCTGATGCGGTCTGACCTCACACCCCAAGGGACACCACACCCTCGTCCTGCGGTAAATCACCAGGGCCCTGCCCCTTCCCGCGGCCTCTGGGGAGGGCCCGGGGCTGGCAGCTCGGCCAGACCCCTCCTTCCTTCCGACAGGCATCCCAGTCTCCCTCGGAGCCGCTCATTCCGCCTGGGTTGGAGGACGTACCCTCTGCAGCGGGAGACGTGGGGGTCTCGTTCTTAGCTGTGGTCTGAGACACTCCACAGGCTGCTGGGCTTTCAGGACAAAACCAAAGACCTTTGTCAACCAGAGTCCTGGCTGGAAACTAAGGCAGACTCAGCTGTTTTGTAGAGCATTCCATGAAGGGATGGTCACCTGGATGTGGGCCTTAAGGAAACCAGCATGGGGGGCGTCAAGGCACCCGGGGCCCTCCTGGGCTGCAGGGGTAAGGGGAGGAGATGGGTTGTCAGGGCCAGCGAAGGGGTTATGGGGGGAGCCGTCCCTGGGGGTGCGGAGGGAGCACAGCCATGAGCAGACTGCGGTCCTGGGCGGGACAGGGCCTGGGGGGAACACCCGAACCTCTCTCCCCGCTTGTCCTGCCAGTGCCTCCCACTGGCCGAATCCTGCTGGAAGCTGGGGCCACAGGAACAGTGGTGCCCTGGGGACAGAGCAGGACAGAGAAAGGTGGAGTGGAGAGGCGAACGCCAAGGAGGTGGGCAAGAGACCCATGCAAGGCCCATGGGATGGGAGCCCTCACCTCCTGGAACCAGCTCTGCAGCAGACAGGCCTGCCCAGCGGGCAGCAGCGTCCTGACAGACCATCCCCTCCATGCCCACCACTCCGCAGCCTCGGAGCCCCTCACTGCCACCCACCCCCGCTCAGGCAGCCGCCTGCCCCGACAACGCCTGTCAGAGAAGCCCCTCACCTACCGCACGGGTGTCTTCCTCAGACCCCTAACAATGGGCAGAGCGAACCAGGCGCCAGGAGGGCCGAGACCCAAGCTCAGGGCTTGCGGCCCAAGCGGAGCCAACGTGACTCAGCACCTCGCCTGCAAGGTCACCACCGCCAACCAGCCTGGGACCCGGGACCAGACGCCTCCGGGTGACCAGCACCCCAAGAACGGAGTGCCCCTGCCCCTGCTCGAGTTAGCCCCTCCCAAAGTGGAGCCCAGGGCCGTGCATTACGTTAGCTAAACCAACCAACTGCACCCTCATTCCAGGCAGGGGGACCCCCAGACACGGGAAGAAATTTCCACGCTGGGCAGCCAATGAACGTGCCCACTGATACGGGCCCCTTTCAGTGCGTCCAAGGGTTTCCCTCAGACACTGTCTTCAGAGGGAGGACTGACTCACGGTACCTGTGGCCAAATTTCTTTCCCTGAAGAGTTAAACCAAGCCTCAACCACACCCAGCAAGCACAGTGCCTGCTTTGCACACCCACATATATTAAGTTTTTAAGAAAAAACTAATAGGCAAACTATGACTGATACGACATCGTTGCTTAATTCTTTCTCTTGCCGTTTTCGTTTTTGGTTTGGGCGGGGGGGGGGGGGCGGTTCCTATGTTTATTAGTTGTACTCAGCAGAAGTCTTTGATACTCGACTTAGGACATGTTTTATTATTTGTTTTGATGACTGATTTTTCATTATTTTCCTTTCTGTAGCCTGTGCTAAAATTAGCTGGCATTTGCTGAAAAGAGAGATGTTTTGGAATTAGATTCAGCTGTGTGTAACAGGAAACAACCAAAGAGGCTTAAACTAGATAGAAGTTTCTTTCTCTGCCATGTAAAAGAGGGCTGGAGAAAGGCAGTCCAGAGCTGGCTTTGGCCCTGCTCCACGATCCTCCCTGATCACCTCCCACCACCCCCTGAAGGGGCCTCCTCCTCACTGTCCAAGGTGGCAGCCAGAGCGCCAGCCATCATGCCCAGGAACAGGACAGAGGACCGGAGGAAGAGGGCATAGCTGCTGCCTTCGCACCACATCTGTTTGCATTTTCTTGGCCACAATTCAGACATGTGGCTTCACCAAGGGAAGCTGGACAGTCAGGCCAGCTAAGAATCAGGACCTCACTACTCAGGACTAGGGGAAGAATGGCTATCGAGAGGAAGGCTACCATCTCCTCCACAGACAAGGATAAAAATCACATTTAAGGCAATCCGTTCACGGAAGAACAACTACTACACTTATGACGATGACAGCACCCAGTTACTGAACAGTTACCAACTGTGGGCCCTGTGCTAGGCACCTGAGATCTGCTACCCAATCCTCACACAGGCCTCTGAAGGACAGACCATGACCACACTTGCTCTACAGAGGAGCAAACCGAGGCACAGAGAGGCTAGGTGACTTGTCCAAGGTCACCCAGCTAACAGGTGGCACAACGTGGATCTGAATGCAGGCAGCTGGCTCCAGGTCCCCCAGGACAACTCTCACCAGCACTTACAGAACCGGGGCCAGCTGGGTGCACCCAAGGGGCCACAGACTCAGGATTGAGGAGGGGGCCCGGGGCCAGAGCTGCTCTCTTACTCTGAGCCTCTGCACGTCTCATCCACTCTACAAATGCTCGTCCCCGACATGCGTGACGTGTGCGATGAACTGCCTGGTGCCTGTGTTTGCGGCTCCGTGGGCAGCCAGTACCCGGCAGGTGCTCCGAAGACACCTGACCTGAGTGGACGCAGGCTCCACGCGGGGTCGAGACGCAGCCCCTGCCCTCCAGCACTCAAGGCCAAGTAAGGAGATGGGCGGCCGCGCGGGGAACAGAGCCGGCTCAGGCAGGGCCTCCATGCGACAAGCCTGGTGAGGCCGAGCTGTACTTTGTGAGTCACAAGCAGTCAGGTTGTAAGGCCCTCGAGGTAGGCCTCAGCCACACTTCACATTCCTCTCAAATCCAAGGTGAGAAGTGTAGGCTCAGCCCTGAGGCCACAGGGAGGCTGAAGCAGGGGGTGGCAGGGCGGCCCCCAGGGGAGACCATCCTGGCAGCCTGTGCCGAGGACTCTGCCGGACTGGGGCAGGGAAAGGGTGGCTGGAGGCTGAGGGGGCCGGACAGGAGCAGGCGGCCTTTCAGGGCTGAGGAAACTGGCTGAGAGGGGCCGAGGGGCGTCTGAGGTGGGACGGGAGCCGAGTGAAGGCATTTGGAAGAAGGGGCTGCGGCTAGAGGAAGAAAAGCACAGGAGGCCTCTGGGGGAGGGGGAAGGAGGGGGCCTGAGGGGTGCTGGAAGGGGCTGGAAGGGGCCCCGGCTCAAGCTGGCCGAGAGCACTTGGATGCCTACAGGCTGTGCTCACGGCTCAGCAATGTCCCGGGCCTGCCAGGATACGCCTGGCCGCTGCCCCTGCCCCCCAGCCCCAGCCCCCGGTCCCACATCAGGAGCTCTGGAGCTGCCCCCCACCCCACCTTCCGCTCCCCAGAACCCAGACATACCCCCCCAACCTCAGCCTTTCCCCAGCGACAACGGCTAATGAAACCCAGGCCAGGGAAGGAGAGGGAGAAAACAAACAGACGTGGGCAGGGGGGCCGTCAGGAGGCGGGGCAGGGGCTGGGGGTGCCAGTCGGGGGGAGTCCGGGCCGGTCTGAGCCCTGGGGCGTGGACTTCCGCCCACTTTGCCCCGCAGGGCTAATGAGGCCCAGGTGGTCCCTTGGCTGGGGCCCACTTCCCGGCGCCACTGACAGTGTAAGTGGATGCCGGTTCTGTGCTGGGGGAGGGGGAGAGGGGGCTCTGCAGCCACAGGGGCGGGGCTGGAGCGGCTGGCCGGGGGCCCAGCACATAACTCTGGGCCGGCTCAGTCTGGGGCGCAGTCTGGGGCAGCAGACACCCAGCCGCTTGGAGCCCAGCTGGCAGCATGAAGGTACCGGGCCGGGGCGGGGGCCTCGGGGCCACAGGGGACTGAACCCACCCTGCAGAGAGGACCCTTGCCAGGCAGGGGGCTGTGAAGGGACGGGGCTCAGTCCAGGGGAGGTGTGGAGGCAGAAGCGCAGACCAGGGGCTCCTGGCAGGGCTGGTTCGTCTGAGGGGCAAATGCAGAGGGGGCGGGGGCTCTGGGGCTGGGCGGGTGACCCTGTTCTCCTGTCGTCAGGCCCTTCTGGCTCTGCCGCTGCTGCTGCTTCTCTGCACTGGCCCCTGCGTCCCCCAACTCTTGGGGATCCGCGGAGATGGTAAGCTGCCGCACTCGCACAGCCCACAGGCTGGGCGAGGGGGCTGTCCCGAGCATCGCAGCTGGGAGTCGGGCCCCAGGGCTGAGCGTGTAAGAGGGGGCAGGTGGGCCAGACGGTATGCGCCCCCAGCTCGGGGAGGGAGGTGAAGGGGGGGCCAGGGGGGCGGAGGTGGCTGGTGTGCCTCAGGCCCCTTCTCCTCACCCCGCCCCCAGCTCTGGAGAGGTCATGCCTACAGCAGCCCCTGGACTGCGACGACATCTACGCCCAGGGCTACCAGGCGGACGGCGTGTACCTCATCTACCCCTCGGGCCCCAGCGTGCCTGTGCCCGTCTTCTGTGACATGACCACCGAGGGTGGAAAGTGGACGGTGAGTGGAGGGGGGGGGGCACGGAGGCCAAGCCGCACAGCTGTGAGCCTGCGACTTCGTCTCTAAAGCAGGAACGATACAGCACAGTTTGTGCGCCTCTGCCACCACAGACTCCTAGATGCTTAAGGTAGGTTAGTGCCTGTAATCCTCACAATAATCCTGGGAGCAAGGTTACAAATGAGGAACCAAAACCCAGAGAGGTGCAGTAACTTGCCCAAGGGCACACAGCCGGCGCCGGACTCAACCCCAGGCGCCTCAGTTCTAGAACGCCCCCTTCACCGCTTCCTGCTCTCGGCAGCCGCTCCCCGAGGGGCCTGGTGCCGGCACGCGCCTCACCTCGGCCCCCGGCGTGGTCCTCGCCCGGGTGAGGCCCCAGCCCCCTGGCCCCTCGAGCGTCCAGGCCCATCCTCTCTGCTCCAGGTTTTCCAGAAGAGATTCAACGGCTCAGTGAGCTTCTTCCGGGGCTGGAACGACTACAAGCTGGGCTTTGGCCGCGCCGATGGGGAGTACTGGCTGGGTAAGGCGGGGCCCGGCAGGCTGGGGGCCCCCAGAGCCAGGTCCCCGCTGACCGGCACGCCCCCCGCCCCCTCCCAGGGCTGCAGAACCTGCACCTCCTGACACTGAAGCAGAAGTATGAGCTGCGGGTGGACCTGGAGGACTTCGAGAACAACACGGCCTTCGCCAAGTACACCGACTTCTCCATCTCGCCCAACGCAGTCAGCGCCGAGGAGGACGGCTACAGCCTCCACGTGTCGGGCTTCGAGGACGGCGGGGCAGGTACCCACTCCCGCCAGCCGCGGAGGGGCTGGGGGGAGGCCGGGCTGCCCCCGCGCCCAGGCGGCCCCGCGGGCTGCGGACGCACAGCTACCCAGCGTCTGGCTCGGGAGAGGCCCCGTCCCCAGGCTGCCCCTCCCCTCCGCCAGGCGACTCCCTGTCCTACCACAGCGGCCAGAAGTTCTCCACCTTCGACCGGGACCAGGACCTCTTCGTGCAGAACTGCGCGGCCCTCTCGTCGGGCGCCTTCTGGTTCCGCAGCTGCCACTTCGCCAACCTCAACGGCTTCTACCTCGGCGGCTCCCACCTCTCCTACGCCAACGGCATCAACTGGGCCCAGTGGAAGGGCTTCTACTACTCCCTCAAGCGCACTGAGATGAAGATCCGCCGGGCCTGAGGCGCCGGCCCCGCCTCGCGGCCCCGTCCCCCGCCCTGCCGCCCCGCCCCAGCCCCGCTGCCCTCGGCGCCCGCGTCTCCCGGGGGCCCTGTGGCTCCAGCCCAACCGCTCCCCTCACACCCACGACGCCCAGCTCTCGCCCGGGCCTCCGCTCCCCTCCACCCGGCTACACGTCGGCGGCCTCCCAGACCTCCGGAAGGCACCGCCACCCGGCCTGGACTCGGACCCCGTCCGGAAGGCTGCGGGCCGGTGTCCCACCTTAGCTGGCTTCCCGACTGCGGCCTCCACCAGGGCCCCGCGCCGGAAGACCGGAGGCGCAGTCCGACCCACTCCCGGCACACGCCAGGCCACCTGCGCGTGGCCGCCACCGCCACGCCCTAGCAGTCCCGCCAGCCAGCAGAGAACCTCCCATCCTTCACCTCCCTCCCAGCGGCGAGCACCACGGGCCCCCAGCCGCGTCTCACTCTCACGCTCACGCTCAGCTTCCCCCGCCTGCCCGTCCCAGGCACCCAGAGCTCGACACCCAAACCGTATCTCACCCCAGCTACCGCAAGCCACACTAGAACAGCCACAGCCAAGGTAGGCACAGATTGTGAGGTCCCCCCACCCGCCCCGGGTGGGGAGTCTGACCATGCGAGGTGGTAGAGGGCAACCTCTGTGGGGCTGGGGGCAAGTGGGGAGTGGAGATCTTAATAAACCTCAGGACCTGAATGAACTGGCCTTGGCTGTTGTGCACGCAGATGCGTTTGCTTGGCCCCCAAGCTCTGGTTCCCCCACTGATGGCACCCTGCCCTTAACTCCAGAAACACGCCCTGGAGACAGGCACTAAAGGGAACCTTATATTTCACAGGCTTCGTTTTGATGGCAAAAAAAATTGTGTAATAATAATAATAAAAAAAAAACAATACTGAAAAGTATCGCTCCGGGGGGGGGGGTAGGGGTTGCCCCTCCTGCCGTGGCTCGTGCTGGCTCAGGTGGCCGCTTAAGGCCGCAGGGTGGGTCTGAGATGAACCTGCAGAATAATCCGAGCTGAGCTTCCCCTGTCAGGCCCGGGGCTCCAGCCCTCGAGAATGGTCCTGCGGATCTTGGAGCTGGGTCTGCCCCTGGCAGCAAGGCACAGACTGCGGGCCTCAGGGCTCCTGGAGGTCAGGCAGGTCAGCCAGCAGCATGGGGGAGTCCATCTGGATCTCACGCTGCAGGGACTCGATGTCAGCAGGGTTTATGCCGTGGCCCTCGAGCCAGTCGGCGAGCAGGGACGCTGAGAGCGAGGCTGAGTCGGCCTGGCTGAGGGCGGCAAGGGGGAGAGCGGGGTGAGGGGCTCCTCCTGTGCTGGCAGCCCCTAGCCATAGCCCATTCTGGAGTCCCGGCCCAGCTCTTACCCGTCCTGTGGCCCGTCAGCCACGCCCATGTCGAAAGACTGGTTTAGGAATTCCTCCAGGTCAAAGCCAACGCCATAGCCCGCTCCACTGCCCTTTGGGGTGCCGGAGAACACGGGGGGCAAGGGGTCCTCCACCTGCAGGGGATGATGGCAGCTTACAATGCGGGAACCACCCAGCGCCAACTGAGGTCTGCAGGGCACCCCACCCTGACACTGCCCTCAAGTGGGCCTGGACACCTGTGGTGACAGCCCCAGCCTCAACAAACACTGAGTGCGGGCTGGGGTCTCCAACGACCGGCCCATCAGCACTACGCTCCTTCTGCGAGCGAGCAGGCAGGCTAGGAGAGCTCGAGCCCGGTCTGCCGCTCCGCTGCACGGGACCAGGACACACAACAGCCTCTCCTGCCCCCAGCGACCTCCCAAGCCCACCTCCCCTGGATTCAGATCCAGGCATCCCCACGGCCAGGCCTCTCCCCTCACCTGCGACTTGGACAGCTGCTGGGTCACCAGGGTGACGTCGGGTGATTCAGAGGTGGAGGGCTGAGGGGCCCCCCCGGGGTCTGGAGGGGGTGGGCCAGAGGGGAAGTAAGGCAGAACGCTCGGGGCGCTGGCGCCAGGCAGCCCAGGGGGGGGCCCCAGCGGCCGGGGGGCCAGGAGGCCGGAGGAGGCGGTGGTCTGGGGCGGAGCGGCCGCAGGCCCAGCAGGTGGGCAGGCAGGCTGTGGCGGGGGGGCCGCAGGCGGGCTGCGGGGCCGGGCGGGGGTCGGCGTGGGCGCGGGGGCCGGGGGCCGGGCCATGCGAGTCCAGCGCTCCAGCAGGCTGCGGTCGTTGTCGCTGAGCACCAGGCCGGCCAGGGGGTCGGCGGAGGGGCCCCCGGAGGCCCCGGCGCCCCGCTCCTTGCGCTCCCGCTCCTGCCGTCGCTTCTCCCGCTCCTTGGCCCGCTCCTGCCGTCGCCGCCGCTTCTCCTCCCGCTCCCGCTGGCGCTCCTGGGCTGTCACCGGCTTCCGAGGCTCGGGAGCTTCCAGGGGGGCGCTGGGGCCATCTGCGGAGAAGACGGGAGGGTGGCGGTAAGAGCCTGTCCAGGCCTGGGGCCCCTCTGCCTCTCGCTCCCCAGCCAGCCGCGGCCTCTGCCAGGCACCTCGGAGCCGGCTCCGCAAGGACTTGAGCAGGGCGGCCTTGAGGGCAGCCTTGGTGTTGTCTGAGATGGCTCCCTCCCTCTTCGGAGGGGCTGGTTCACTGGCCGGCGGGGGCGGCTGCAGGGTCAGATCGATGGTGTCGGGCGCAGGGCCGGGGCATGGCAGTGGGGCCGGCGGAGGGGACTCCATGGCACAGTCCCCACTGGGAGCCCAGGGACTGGGCATCTCAACATCGGGGCAGCCGGGCTCACTGGCCACGGGCTGCAGGGAAGGCTGGAAGCGGATCTGCTGGCGGATGCCCTCGCGCCGTGCGTGGAAGTCTTCGATCTCGGCCACGATAGCCTCCTTAATGCGTTCCCGTGTGAGGGCTTCGCGGTCAAAGGCAAAGTCAAAGGGCGGGGCGCAGTCAGGCTCGTCGTCGGGGTCGTGGTACTTGGCCAGGAAGGGGTGGCGAAGGGCGGCAGCTGCTGAGATGCGGGCACTGGGCTCAAAACGCAGCATGCGCCCCAGCAGGGAGAGGGCCTGGCGGTCGGCACCCGGGTACACCGCCTCCCAGGGCACAGGCTGGCGTGGCGGCAGGCTCTGGATGTAGGCCCGCACCCTCTCAGCCCCCACGGCCTGAATCACGGCCGGCGACGGGGTGCCCAGCACCATCATGATCAGCTGTAGCTGGTGCACATAGTTTTTGCCTGGGAAGAGCTGGCGGCGGGCCAGCATCTCCCCAAAAATGCAGCCCACGGACCACAGGTCGATAGCCTGCGTGTACTCGTGCAGCGAGAGCATGAGTTCGGGGGCACGGTACCAGCGCGTGGCCACATACTCGGTCATGAAGTACTGGTGCTCGGCGGGCGAGGTGCACAAGCCTCGGGCCATGCCAAAGTCCCCGATCTTGAGCTCGCAGTTCTCGTTCACCAGCAGGTTGGAGGGCTTGAGGTCGCGATGGATGACCTGAGCCGAGTGCATGTACTTGAGGCCCCGCAGCAGCTGGTACAGGAAGTAGCGCACATGCTCCAGCGTCAACGGCTGCGAGGAGTGGATGATCTGGTGCAGGTCACTCTCCATCAGGTCCAGAACCACATAGCTGAGGGGCAGGGGAGACAGGCAGGGGCTGTCTTGCCCACCCTCCAGCCCCAGCCTCACCACGCCCTCCCGCTCCAGACAGGTCATGGCCTTACTCTCAGACTCTGCAGGGGCCACCCACTGGGTACGAAAATTCTAGATTCTCTACAACTCTTCCATTAACTTAAGTGAAGTGAAATCGCTTTTCTCTCCAGATCTAGTGTCACCATCAGAGCAAAGGTCGGGTTGGACTAAACCAGGCTGGCCAACATGTTTTGTTCGGGAGCCCTCTCCATTGTTTGGTAGTGGCTGCTTGAAAGACTATGATGAAAACTGTAAAGTCGTCTCCATTTTCTGTAGGACAGTGTTCTGTGATTGACTAGTGATGTCTGCTATGGGAATAAAAAGATACAGATACAGAATGAACGTCCTACGTTTGCCAAGCTACATACTGAGGTCCTATAAAACCGTTACTTCTGCATTCTTCTTGAGGAATCACATGTATCCCCGGCAAAGCCCTAAGGGAGCACTGATCCTAGAATCGCAGGAATTTTCCCAGCCTGCCCTACATTAGGTTCAGCTACCCTTCTAAAACTTCAGCAATATGGCCCCAGCGTTCAGAAAAGGTCCCTGCTCGGTCTCCCTCTTCCATCCCCGCTCCTTACACAGATTTGAACTCGCCATAGGGCACAGTGGGCCTCAGGATGTCCTTGATGGCGATGATGTTGTCGTGCTTGAAGTGTTTGAGGATCTTCAGCTCCCTGAGGGTCCGCTTGGCATTGGTCACCACGTCAAAAGCGTTAGGGATCTTCTTAATGGCCACCTGCTGACCTGGGGAACAGGGGAAAAGCAGATGCCACAAGGTACCTTGGTTAGCTGCAGAGCAGCACAAGGCCCCTTTCAATACCTCCCTTTGCGGACGCAAGTGACAACAGCTACCACTTACAGAGTACCTACTTTGTGCCAGGCTCTGTGCTAAGCAGAGTACGTATGTTATCAGGTTTTCCCTTCACCTCCTTCCTGAGGCAGGTACTCACAGCTCAAAGTTAGAGATATGGAGACCGGGGCTCAGCAGCTTGCTGGGCATTGCACGGCTGGTTAGTGGTAGACTCTAGACTCTCACACCTGTGCTCACTCTGCCTCCCTACACTCTGCATCTCAGACCTCATCCATCCCACCACCAACCCCGAGCGCCAGTCTCTGGCTCCAGAACACACTCTGGAGAGCCTCCATTCGGGTCTAACCCGGACTGTCACCTAAGGAGGAAGTAGGCTGATGCGCTGGCAGAGCCACCAGAGTTTCAGAGACCCGAGCCCAATACAGAGGCTGGCCCCAGAGGCACCCAACCCATGCTTGCTGACTTGACCCAGAATTCACATCCCAGCGTCCCCTATGGCTGCTTGGGACGGGGCGGGTCTCAGCCCCCGGGAACCGGTTTCCACACGGGCGAGCAAGGCCGGGCGGGT